TGGGGAGCCCAGGACTCGGTTTCTCAGAGCTGTCCGTGTCTCCTCTCCCTTTGGCAGCTACAGAGCCTGATGGGACCCCAGGGCTTTTGGGCTGGGGGGGTGGCAGGGCAGGTCCAGGGGGAATTGCGGAGGCTGCCCCAAGATCTCCTTTTTCCAGTGCAGAGGATCCTGCTGTCATCTCACTTGCTGGAACTGCAGAGGAAAATCCAGAGCCAGCAGACAGCCCCTTGGCAGCAGGAGGCACAGCCAGGCCCACACGGGGAGACACGGGGGTAGCCAGGGGCTCCTCTCCAGAAGGTGCTGGCATTCTTGAGGCCATCTCGTCATCGGGAGACCAAGGAAGGGCAGTTTCAGCATCAGCCAGTTGCCTATTGAGTGCCTTTGCAGAGGCCAGCGGCGTGCCCGAGGCGGCCCAGCTGCCTCCACTCTGGATACTGGAGGGAGAGGGGAGTTTCTCATTTGGCACCAGCCCTGAGCTTTCCCCCATGCCTCCCAAGGAGGCAGGTGAGGCACCAAGCCCATACCCAGGGAGCAGCAGAGAAGAGCCCAGCAAGCTAGCAATGCCAGCAGCAGCACCAGCCGTGTCCAGAGCTGAAGGGACCAGGGTCTGCATCTGCTGTGGGGAGGCAAGAGAAGACGGGGCCAGCACTCCTGATGCTATTTGTATTATGGCTCTTGCCCCACCTCCTAAACTGGCACTAAGGGAGGCTTCATCCTCAGCTGAGACCCCGGTTTCTCCTCCAGGCAGCTCCACCACGTTGATTTGGCTCAGTTTTGTATCAGAAAGTCCAAGATCTGAATCACTGTGGATGCCAGGGGCAGATATGGGAGCACCCTCAGATCCTGAAGACCCTGGGCCAGAAGCATCTGAGCCTGCGTTCGAACCATCAGCTCTTCCACTGGCACTGGGAAGGCCGGCTCCCGCCACAGTCTTGCCAGCTGTCCCCATTGATGAAGATCCTTCAACAGAGAGAGAAGAGGGTAGAGAGTGCTCTACAGCTCTTACTGCTCCGTCAGGGGCTCCCAAACCAGTTGTTCCCTCTGCAGCAAGGCCCTGGAACTCCCCTGGGGAAACCCCATCACCAGGGACAGCCTCAGCCAGTTTATCTGCTCCTTCTTCTGTGGCAGGACGGACCCCAGGCTCAGCACCTCCCAGGGCAGGCTGTGAAGAGCCAGGAGAGTTGGGTACTGCTCCAATGTCACTCACGTTGGCAGTCTCCAAAACGGAAGATGTTGCAGTGGCATCATTGGAAGAGGCAGGATCAGATGGGGACCCGGCACCAGGCAGCTGGTCTGCGTCAGCCACTGTCCTGTTGTCCAGAGCAGAGCTCAGGGACGGCTCACCCCCAGCTGTGCTGCCATCTCCCCCCCGCGCCTGCCC